TACTCCAATGCAGTAGGAAGCCTGATGTATGCTATGGTCTGCACTAGACCAGACATAGCACATGCTGTTAGTGTTGTTAGCAGGTTCATGGGACAACCTGGAAAGGAGCACTGGCAGGCTGTGAAGAGGATTTTCCGCTACCTGAGAGGTACGTCTGATGTTGGTCTCATATATGGAGGTGGTACTCACTGTTCTATGACTGGCTATTCTGATACTGATTATGCTGGAGATGTTGACAGTAGAAGATCTATGACTGGTTACGTTTTCACTCTGGGTGGTTCTGTTGTTAGTTGGAAAGCAACTTTGCAGACTGCAGTTACTCTCTCTACTACTAAAGCAGAATATATGGCGTTGACAGAAGCTGCTAAAGAGGGAATCTGGTTGAAAGGGCTAGTTGGTGATCTTGGTCTGTACCAAGAGCAAGCTGTTGTGTTATGTGATAATCTGAGCGCTATCTGTTTAGCCAAGGATCAGGTCCACCATGAGAGGACCAAACATATTGATGTGAGATATCATTTTCTGAGGAATGAGAAGAAAATCAAGGTGGAGAAAGTGGGCACTGCTGATAACCCTGCTGATATGTTCACCAAGCCGGTCCCACATAGCAAGTTCCGACATTGTTTGGACTTGCTTAACATCAGAAGCTGTTAGTAGCCCTGCGGGGCAATTCTGAGGAAGAGGGGGAGGTCTGGCACAACCATAGTGCGTCTGAAGAATCAGTATGGACGATTCAAGTCAAGGTGGAGATTTGTTAAAATGCCTTGAATCTGACCCATCACAGCTCCGAATCCGGAGAAGTCTGTTTTCTGAGAAGTCCGTTTTCGGAGAAGTCAGAATCCGGAGAAGTCCCATTACTGAGAAATCCGAATTCCGGAGAAGTCAAGGAATCCGAATCCTGAGAGATCCGAACCCTACTCTAATTGGGCTTTCTAATTATCTGTTAATTCTGTAGTTTGGGGCCCAAGTCTGTTAGGGTTTAGCTTAGCACTATATATATGGGTGCTACCACAAACCCTATGAGGGATATTCTGTACTCTGTTTTGCCTCTCATTCAGAAATAAAACTGCTCTCCTCTTCCCCCGTGGACTAGCCAACACAACGTTGGTGAACCACGTTAAATCTGTTGTTGTGTTTTCTGTTTGATTCTTTGATCACTCAATACCCTATTCCGTAACAACACAACCCATTCTGTCTCCTACTGATGGATGAGAGCAAAAGGAGCTGGAGCTCCCCGGTTGGCCCCGGGCATGGGTGGAAAAGAACAAGGTTGCGTACGAACCTCTTCCCCCAAGGCTACCATGGACTCCTTCAGGCTTCTTTACCGGGAGCCTGAAGGAAAGAAGATGATCACCGATGTGGGCTCCGTCGGCTTCAAGATGGGCCAAAAAAAAGACCGGGCGACGACCCATTGCATCCTAGCAGTCCAGGATCTAGCCTTCTCCACAGGCTTCATATGGCATTGCTTTCATCCCCTACGACGAACCAACACCCCCTTTCCATTGCATTAATTTTCTCTTCATCTGGTGTATTTTGTGCACATATTTCAATTCTTTCCATGTATGTTTTAGCCGCTCCGAGAATGATCTATATCAAATATTGAATGATCTGTCAAAGTGACCTTGCCTAGTCTGTTAGCTAGCTGTTTGGCCTTAGGAATTTCTTAGCATCTTCATCCAATTGAAAGAATTGAAAATTCCATTATTCCTTCCAGTGTGCCGTGCACCCGGTTAACCTTTTTTTGACCGGTAGGTTGTAGCTGAACGCATCTATAACTTAGTAATTTTTTGAAGTTGTTCTGACTCGGCCAAGTTAACACTATAGGTTCCAACCATGTCGGATCGTTTCGAACGCTGTCTAAGGCTGATATGTACCCTTCTTTCAGGGCCTCTACTTCCGGGTGATTAAGTCTTTTTATGGCTCCTTTTTAGTTTACTATCTCAGGTCAATAGCCTTGGCTCATTGCACGTTCAAGTGTTCTTTCAGAAGGGAGAAACTGACCCGCTCGCTTTAGGAATCAATGTGATGAATGATAACTTTTATTTTTTTCGTGGGCATTTTTTTATTCTTCATTGGTCTGAGTGTACCAGCACGCTAGCTTTTGTGGGACTGTGTAAGTATGGCTTCGAGCCCTCCTCCAGATCCAGTTTGATTGCATACATACCCCTTTTTCTGGGGTGCCTCTTCCGAGTTTATCTATTTATTTATTTATTTATTTATTATACTGTGCAAGATCGATGTCGTAACCAGCGGCCAGGTCCTTGACGTGATTATTTTATTTTTATTAAATAAATAAAGAAATTGATTAAAAATTGACCTTGTAATAAAGAGAGTAAAACTTTCACTCTGATGCACACCCCTGAGATAAACTACAATGACGATAAGAAAAGCAAACCCAGTGGTAAGTGAGATGGCATGATGAGAAGTAAATCTACTTATCTATATGTAAAGCTAAAATGCTCTATAAACAGTAATGAACAGCATTCCCATCCAAATAAGGATTCTTTCTATCAAAACACATTCCAGCTACTAGGGCATGATGTTGTGGGCAAGGTTGGGGATCACCACGTGATTTTTCCTCTTACTCTTTCTTCTGGCAGTCACTTTTTTCTTTCACGCCATTCTTCCTCTTTTCACCTCCGCCAATTACGATTCTAAATTTGAGATATAGATAAATAATCTTTTAACACAGTGATTTTTGATTATTTTTAAAATTTTTATTTATAAAATCGAGGTTTAGATAAATATTTGTAACGCACTAATAAAAATCTAGTAGGGAGCAATTACTTATGCTCTGTTTGGTTGGAGGTAGGTGAATGTAGGGTGAGGTGAGATTTAGGAGTTACCTAATAAATATCCAAACACAATTTTTTAATTTCTTACTTTACTTTACCTACCTTCAATTACATACCTAATAAAACTTTACCTACCTCCTACCAAATACTCCCTCCGTCCCACTCTTTTTGTCCACTTTCATTTTTGCACACCATCCAATGCACTTCTTTAATCCATTTTATCTTGTAATTTGTATATTTAAAAATTATAAAAATTACTCCCTCCGTCCGGTATTAAAGTTTACGTTTTGACTTTTGGTCATTTTTAAGGGAGGTTGACTAATCCTGTGAAATGACCAAAATACCCTTAATGAAAAAAGGGAAAGAAAAAGAAAGGGGCGTGTGGGCTGGGACGTTCAGGACATCCGTGTGGGCTGGGATGGGATGTTCAGGGCCACCGGGTATCATCAAGCTAGCCCGGCGCCGCCGCCGCCTCCTAATGCTCCAGCAAGAACAGCCGCAGCCGCAGCCCGATCTCTGCGAGCACTCGCGTCACCCCAGGCGCCTGCCTCTAGTCGCCTCCATCCCCTATCACAACCCCCAACCCTACCACCGCTGTAAATCCCACCATCTCCGCCAGCACTTTGTCACCGCCACCCCCCATCACCGCTAGCACCTTAATTGCCGTCATCTCCCATCTCTGTGATTGCAGATCTGTTTAGATCTAGAAGAAAGAGGGAGAAGGAGGATGAGGAAGAAGAAGATATTAGATCTACACAAAGAGGAAGGAGAAAAGAAGAAAAGGAAAAAAAGAGGCGATAGGAGGAGAGTGGCGGAGAAGAAGAGAAGAGTGATGGAGAGCGGCGGAGAAGAAGAGAAAAAAAAGAGGCGCTGGAAGAAAGAATGAGGAGAGAAAGGAAAAATAAGGAAAAAAAGAAGAGAAAGAAAGAAACGTAGAGAAGGGTACTTTTGGAAGAGTGTGATTTAAAATTAGAAATGTAAACTTTATTTTCGGACGGAGAAAAAGGAGAAACGTAAACTTTATTTGCGGACGGAGGGAGTATATATTAATAATCTATATGTTAAAACAAATCAAACAAGATCACACATGACTATTTTTAGAATTACACATTGAGAAAATTTGATGAGTCAAAGTGTTTAAATGAACAGTTCCAAAAGTCAAAATTAGACAAAAAGAGTGGGACGGATGTAGTACATTTTAGTGTTGGGGGTGGGTGGGTGGGGTGTGCTAAGGGAGATATATATATATTTGGGGAGTAAAAGGGAAACCTAATGCAATTGTAGATTCGTTCCTTCGAGAGAGAGAGAGAGAGAACAGCGGCGTCAAGACGTGAAGGAGAAGTTTCGATCCGGGGGCGAATCCAGGCGGCGTCGATTTCGGTTCTAGGTATGTGATTATAACTCATGCCATACATAACTTATTTGGAATGGATTGGAAATCGCCGGATTCGTCGGACCAGAGCTGGGGTTTCCGTCTAGAACAGCGCGCCCGGGGAGGGGAGGGGCGGGGAAACTGTTCCCAGATGATTTCATTATAAATGTTTGATTATTTCGTCTTTAATGAAATTATTGTGTGATTTTGGGACCTCAATTGCTCTTCAGGATCTGAGCCATGGCAGTAGCGACAGAGTTCTCACATTTGGAAATTTGCGATTTACTTCCAAAGGAAGAAGAAGAAGAAGAAGAAGAAGCAGAAGAAGAAGAAGAANGAGAGAGAGAGAGAGAACAGCGGCGTCAAGACGTGAAGGAGAAGTTTCGATCCGGGGGCGAATCCAGGCGGCGTCGATTTCGGTTCTAGGTATGTGATTATAACTCATGCCATACATAACTTATTTGGAATGGATTGGAAATCGCCGGATTCGTCGGACCAGAGCTGGGGTTTCCGTCTAGAACAGCGCGCCCGGGGAGGGGAGGGGCGGGGAAACTGTTCCCAGATGATTTCATTATAAATGTTTGATTATTTCGTCTTTAATGAAATTATTGTGTGATTTTGGGACCTCAATTGCTCTTCAGGATCTGAGCCATGGCAGTAGCGACAGAGTTCTCACATTTGGAAATTTGCGATTTACTTCCAAAGGAAGAAGAAGAAGAAGAAGAAGAAGCAGAAGAAGAAGAAGAAGAAGAAGAAGAAGAAGAAGAAGAAGCAGCAGCAGCAGAAGCAGAAGAAGAGGAGGAGGAGGAGGAGGCGGCGGCGGAGGGTTCACCTCATCCAGATAATGTAATGAAGGATGACATGGGGATTGTCATTGACATAACTGATAACCCTCCGTTTGAGTCTCGGCGTGAGCTGTACACAAAAGACGTTCCAACTGAGACTACCTACGATTCAGATGGGGAACCTATTCTGGTTATAGATGATTCCATTGCTGAAGACATGGAATCTTATAGGAAATACAGGGCTGATTTTCTTGCCAGTGATGTAATCTTGTTTCATTACTTTACTGCTCTTGCTTTGCTTAAAATTTTTTTCATCCCTGCTGCTCACCTTTAAATGCTTGTTTTGTTTGTTCCTTAGGGCTATGATGTCACTCACTATTTTAACCCGTCTCCCAATTTTCGCTATTTCGTATGCAATCACCTTCGACCTGTGGGTCTTGCTCCTGGAGACTTGTTCTATGATCATTGCCTCGCAGGAGTACAAAGAACAATTCAATTTCTCAATCAAAAGGTTTATTACCATCAAACATCAATGCCCTAGCAACTAACTCAATACACGTTGTTATGAAAATATTTGGCTGATTTTATGCCTACTGATGTTAACTCTGCAGAGAGGAAGAAATCTTGAATTTGGCGAGCTTGTGAAGGCAAGCTGGGTTGCAAATACTTTTACTAGCTTTTATGTCGCCTTTACTGCAACAGAATATGGGGAAAAACAATCTTACCAAGCTCAAGTGTTTGTCTCTCTACATGATTACAGTCGAGTTGAGTTTTGGGAGTTCAGGGAAGCACCATCAAAGGTAATAACGATCTTTCAAACCCTCAATAATACCTAGTCTTTATCTGCACGTACGTCTCCATGAGATCAGATGGTTTGATTTTATTATTTCTTTATGGTTATTTCCCCTATTCTCGCAGAAGGGCGACGACGTTGGGAAAGATTGAAGCATGCTCTTGTTAAGGTTGCAATACCTACTCTAAATTAAATAAATTGACTCTGCTTATCTATGGAGTACTTTTTCTTGTGTTCTCTCGAGATGTTGAACAATCTCTAGGCGTTTTTTTGTTTACATTGTGATTCAATATTTTCTTGTCGTCCCCTTGATGTTGTCATTCTACCTTTTTATTATCATTTGACACAAAGTTTCTTACTTGGGTCATGCTCTAGCCACCCAATTAAGATCAAATCTAATCTGAACAATAATAAGTATATAAAAAAATATATAAGTTGGAGAGACAGGGTTGTATTCAATTCAGATTTTAAAAAATTTTGATAGATTATTTAAAGTCCCTGGATTATGTAAAATCAATGAATTATTTATCATACCCTACCTACCACATCTCTGGATTAAAAA